TATATTTATAGTTATATTTATATTTATATTTATACTCATATTTTATTGTCGGCTAGAAAATTTGAATTCCTGGAGAATTATTAAAAAGCTCTATTAAATGCATTATGAAATATTAAAATAAAATATTCATTCATCAATACTTGATAACATTTGAGTGTTATTATCTTGTAAGATAAAGTAATTATAAAGCTACGTACTCAATTTTTTACGAATATAATTACAAATTGTTTCCAGAGTATTATTTCCTTTTTATCCTTATTCAAATAAATTCAGTAAATAAATGTATTTTTTAAACATTGTTCTTAACTATAGTTTAAAAATTTACAATCGTACAATACATTTGATGATTTAATATCAGCTATCCTTTAGTACTTCTTTTAAAATAGAACCTGTATTTCTCGCTGGAACAAAGTCCGGGAATGTTGGTAGATTTACATTCGATAGCAATAGCGTGGATTGTGTTGATGATGTAGAATGTTGCCTACTATGACCAGGTCTTGGTAAAGACTGTAAGACAAAATACACATTATAATATAAAATCGAATTAAATTTACGAAATTTATTTTAATAGTTATACGCACCGATGTTTGAATGGGTAGTGCTGGTAACTGTGGTTTAGGTATCGATTCAGTTTCCAAAAATCTTACAAATGCTGCTGTCAAAGATGATTCTTGATCCTGGAGAACAGAAAAATTAAATACTGTGTTAATATTTATTTTTCAGAACAATATAATTAAACTAAGATCATATAATTAATCTTAAACCCATGAATATTTTAAAAGTAAAAATGTACACACATATTGTTAAGTAAAAAATTTATAATTATTTCTTAATAAATAAAAGTTACCTTATTAGCAATATGAGAACCACTGCTCAAACGCGAAAACCAATTATTTTGAGCGGCCGCATTATTCAAACCAACTTTATCCTTTTCCGTTTCATTGAAGTCCAAAACTGTAGAAAACACTCTGAGTACTGAAGATTTGTCTGCTGCCGACGAAGATAGATAACCCAAGAAAAGATTTTTAATAAGAGTTCTGAAAGAATTTTTGTTTTATATTAATAATTGTATGTACAAAACTTATATTTACATTTATGACAAAAGCAATATTATATAAATGAAATGAAAATTCATTTACTCACTTATCAACTTTTCCCTCTCCACTTTGTCTTGCTTCCTCTATCCTCTGATCAGCTGTAGCTACAAGATTCGTCAATCGGTCCACTATAAATATATGATAACAAACGTGAGAAACAGAGTAATATAAGTAATAATAAATGAAGTATAATAATAACATTATTGGGATTTTAGATTAAGTAATATGCTCGAAATTATACAATATTTTATGTAAAACTGTTTACTATTGGAGGAATATTTTAGTATCTTGGATATTTTATTTCTATACATATGCATTCCAGCGTTGCAAGGTTGGTAGATTTGAAGGTTGAAAAGACATGAGCGTAAGTATAACACAAGTACTGGTTGTTTGAATATCACACCAGTACCTGATGTAATACTCACACCCGTGTCTTGGTTGTTCATGCTGCATTCTTCATTCATCATGCCGTACTAGCAAACTAATTTTCACACATGCCACTAGAAGTAAGAAAGCTATATTAATATGGTAATAAGTACTTTAGTATGTTACAATATAATAATATAATTAGTTTGTTACGATAATATAAATTATTGCATTAGAATTCAATAACAATCTTATTATGATATTATGATGCCATTACAATCAAGTTGAAAATTTATTCTATAAATTAATACAATTTGTTTCAAATAATTATAATAACCATAAAATATTCTTACTTTTACAAGATAAGAAAAAAATATTTAAATCATAAAAATAATTGTTTCTGAAGGTGATGGTAAATTGTTACAAAAATGAAATAAATTAAGGATTGGTTAATGCATTATAAAATTAAGATTAAATAAGAAGAAAATATACATTATTAAGTGGAAAATGAACATATTTTTTTACATGCTTTCATCTTTGTAGGATATTGGTAACGGGTGGGAAACCCCACGAGGTAATATGAGCTTTTACAATTTTCACGCTCACAGTTACCGCATGAGATTACCCACTCTAGCGCTACCAAATTGTACGTGTGGTTTTATATATTTTATTCTTATATCATGAGCAATGTACTATCTTAGACTTCATCATAAAATACTTGGGCTACTATTGAAATATCTATCAATTTTTAAATTCATTTACTATAATAATATATATTATACAAATGATATAAATATACTGTTTACTTCTCTCTCATTTACACACTTCTGAATCGTATGATTGCAAATGCAATTGACAGGATTATACAATTAATTGTAAATGATAGATGATCATACATAAAAATTCATAACTTGAGCATATGATGTAATATTATTTTAGATGCATGGTAACCAACATTTGTTTCAAAGACTAATAAGTGCTAAGGTCATTACATTACTCAATGCATCACTGTCATATTGTATTTGCATTAATAACTCAATTATATATATATGCAGATTCAAAGTCCAAAGTGTAAAACAAATGTAGAACAAATATTTATTAATACATATAAGACATTGTTAGATTTTTAACTGAAAAAGGTAGTTTTACATACATACAGAGTAATATACAATTAAATATTTTGCTTATTTACGATCTTTTATGTGAGAGGTCAAGAATTTCTGTTCAGAAATATGCGAGAAGATAGTACCAGCACCAGTGGCAATGCATGAACCAATGAAGTTGTGATTTAGTGTGCTAAGGCGACGGTCCAGTTCGTAGCCGGATACCAGCAAGAATCCTGGGCTGTTCTCAAAATCCCAGAATTACCAGCTGATATTTGACTACGTCACCGGAGTTTCTATGTGTTTGCGTTTGCAGATTAGTCACAGATCACACTCAAACCAATAACTATAGAGTAGGATTTAAACCATGTTACCAGTGCATAAATTATAATGAGTGTGTATGATGTTTTGCAAGCTGATTTATAGCAAGCTATAAAAGTATCAGATTTTTTTTGTCCAATTTTATTATATGTGCATCATTAAAAAATATCAACGTGAAAGTATGTTATATCCATATTTTTTGTATCAATTATAGCATACCAGTACTATTGCACTATCTGTGTAACTATAATACTAATTGTTGTATTCACCAATAGTCATAAGATATTTCATTGTCTTTATTTTAGGCTGTATATAATAAGCATTGTTACATTATGTTGTAAAACTTAACACTAATTACGTGTTTCTGTGAAATGTTCCTAAAAAATATCTTTTTTATGAGAATAATAATCCACTTACGAATAAAATTCAAGAACATATTTTTATATATATAATAAACATAGTGTTATAGAAAGTGTTTTATCATATTAAAATAAGATAGAGTATTATTCTCGATATAATAAAATTTCGTATCTAATATCACTGAAAAAGTTATACAGGAAAGTTCAATAATTAAGCAATAATAAGCACTGTTCTACTTACAAATAAAAACAGTTTAAATATTTTTCGTATATCACTATTATCAATTTCATTTTACACACTAATCCCGAATGAATATATATAACCACACCAAATAAGCACACGTATGTATTATTTACTTACGTTTATCAATATTTCTCGCATTTAATGATTATATCACATATTTGATAATACATTAGAAAAATTTTGTATAATAGCTCCAGAGAATGTTTCAGTACAAAATTATTGGTATTAAAATTTTATGACACTCTTTAAAGCCAATAAATTTTTATGATATATTTTAATTGTGAAAATATGTTAACCATGCGAGATGTAAAAGGGATAAGAGATGCAGGCAGAAATAAAATGTAAAATTTTTTGATAATTATAAAATTAAATACCTTCTTCATTCAGTTGTTCAATACGTTCTGTTTTTCTATCAAGTTGCTCGCTTAATCTGGATGCTGCTTGTAAACATTCTTTAGCTTCAGCTAATTGCTCCTGTTAACAGGTATTAAAAATAATATTGAAATAATAATCTGATAAATAAATTTCGTTGTACGAGTAAATTTGTGAATGTACCTTAAGATTAATAACGTCATTAGCTAATTCTTCTTGCTTCATATATGATTCATTTAATTTCATTTGAAGTCTTTCTGTTGCTGCCTTGATGTCCTTCTCTTTATCTAAAATAAGGAACGCGAACATGTTAGTAGTTTCTTTATAAATTTTGTATTTCTATACATAAAAATAATAATATTAATAATAATCATTCTTAAAAATTTCAATATTATAGTATGTCGAATATATACCTCGTTGGAACTGTTCTAAGACGATTTGTAAATTAGTTAGGGATGCGGTCTGAGATAAAATTTTGTCTTCAGCGCTGGATAGTTTATTTTGTATATCATCTCTTTGTTGAATAATTAGGGCCATTTGCTGTTGTAATGTCTCTACTTGTTGATTCGCTCTGATACTAGCAGATGTGTACGCGGTTGAACTTTGTTTCATTTTTTCTTCAGCTTGTTGTAACTTTACTTCCAATTCCTTTCGCGCTTCTTCAACAATCAAAGCTTCTTCTGTATAAGTAGATTCAATTTCAACTAAATGCGATCGTAGCCTCTCCAGTTCTTTTTCAGCGTTCACTTCTTTGTTCTGACTCTCAATAAGTTGATGTTGCATTATCCTATTATTAGACTGCTCTTGAATTAAGGCTGCTTCCAATGCTTTACATTTCTCGTTAAGAATAGTAACCTCTGCCAGGAGCCTGGAATGTTCGACAATTCCACAGGTTTCGCTACTGTTTGATGCCTCTATATTCTTTAAACGTTGCTGGACTACTTGCAACTCATTTTTCGCCCATAAAAGTTCTGCGTCTTTCTCTGACAATTTCGACAAATTTGCATCTTTCTCTAGAACCAAGCTTTGAATTTGCGATATCTGTTCGTTTAAGAGATGCGTTAATCGTTGAATTTCCTCGTGGTATTTTAAATTTTCATTATGCTTCATGGTAACGAGGGTCACCAATTCGTCTCTTTCGTTTTTGACGGTTGCAAAATTGTTGGACATTTCTGCATTACTTTTGGCAAGATCAACTGATGCCTTCAAACTATTAATTTCTTCATCTTTTTGTCTGATCAAATGAGATAAATTTTCTATCGTCTGCTTCGCCATATCAGCTGATTCTGCGTTACTTTCAATGGTTACTTGTAACTTCTTCTGTGTTTCGACTATTTCAGCCATTAATTTGTCATTATTACTTTTCAAAGCATTGTTCTCCTGTGTTTTCTCTTCCAAAAGTGCTATAGTCTGTTGGATTTCACTATCATTATCATTTTCGTTTACACGATTCGATAATTCATTCTTTTGTGTCTGTAAAGTTAATATTTCTTGTTCTAATTGTTTACATCTTTCTTGAATGGTTTCATTTAGAGCTCGTAAATTTTCGTTATCTTCCATTAGTTTAGAGAAACTTTCTTGTAAGCTTATTAATTCTGTTTCTTTCGAATGCAAAGTTTCCATTTCAGAGAGTAATTTGTTATAATCAGTTTGTACAGAGTTGAGATTTTGTATGGTTGATTTAGACATATCCAATTCGTCCTTTAAATCTTTCTGTTTTTCTATTGTATTTTGTAGGTCTTCATTTTTCAATTGAAGTTCTTCAGCTTTTATACTCAAAGAGCAAAACTTGTTTTCCAGTGTCACGTATCGTTCCTCTGTTTCCCGTAATCGTTCAATAATTTCACTTAACTCTTTCTCTCTGGACGCTACACCTTCCTCCAATTCCTTTTGTTCTTGTTCAAGCAACGATTTCTCTGTGTTCACCAAATCTATTTTATCATAAGACTCATTTTGAATAGCAAGTATTTGTTCTGATAGAGAATTCTTCTCCTTCATTAAACTTTCGTTCTCCTGGCTCAGTTTCATTATCTGATTTTCTTTCACATCTATCTGATTAAATGCTTCGTCCAATTCTTTCCTCATATTTAAGATATCATAATCCAAATCATCCTTTTCGCGAATAGTTTCGCTAAGCTGCTTTTGAAGATTATTCAACACATCGTCGTTCTCCTTCTCCGACGTCATTTCCCGCCATTTCGAAATCTCCATTTCCAGCTGATCGTTCCTACACGACAGTTGTTCATTTTCTTTTTCTATCGCGTTTTTAGTCTCTTGAAGAAGCGCTAAACTACTCTCCAACTGCTTCGTATTAGAAAGCGACACCTTCAATTCCCGTTTCACGTTCTCCAGATTAAACTTCAGTTCCTCGATGAATTCAATATTCTCGTCCAAACCTTTACACTTTTCCAATGACATTCTCAGCTGCTCTTGCGTCTCCTCCTCCGTATTCTCGAGAACATCGATCTTCTTCCGTAATTCGTCGTTCTCGTCTAAAGTGGCGTGCAGTTTGCGATTCAAGTTCTCCATTGGGTTATCAGTCTCTTCGCTGCATTCCGGAATGTCCTCTAATCTCGAGACTTTTTTATTTCTAGTTCCCAAGTGAGCTTGATTCTCTAATCGTATTTCGTTCAAACCAATCCCTCGTAAATTTGCATTTTCTTTCCGCAACACGGCGTTCTCCGTTTGAAGGTGTTTCACCTCTTCCTGCAGAGATTCCGTTTCTGATTCTAGTAGCGCGACGCGCTCCTCGCTCGCTTCCGGTATGGACGGCAAATTCAATTTTAAGTCTTGGATCTCCAGTAACAGCGTGTCTACCTGCGTCTGCATGTCGTCGCATTCTATTTGCAAATTTTCCTTCATTTCCGCGGCATCCTTCAACTCTCGATTCAACTCTGTTAGCTTCTTCTCTAATACATCCTTCTTCCATTTCGCGTCGACGTATTGTCTCGCAACGGTTTCAAAAATCGAAACACCTGGCTCTGACTCTACAGGAATGTTCTTCAGAATTTCTTTCACTTTAACGATTAATTCGTCAACCGTATTTTCTGCGTTCGTCTTCCCATCGCCTTCAGAATCGTCCGTTTGAACGACCTTGTGTGTATTCTCGAACTGGGCAGTTTGCGAGGAATGAGATATCTTTTCAGTTTCAACGGAATTGGAGGATTTCAGTATATCCTGCAGATGAGAAACTTTATCCTGAGCTTGATTGTAGTCCACGTAGAGCTGCTCGTAAGCGTTCTGAAGGCATCGGTGTTTTTTCTCGATTTCTTCCTTGAGAGACAACAGCTTTTCTGAAATACAAGAAATATACATGTTGCAGGTGTTTCACGTTGTTTCGCATGAACGATAAAACAGAGGTGCAATTGAAGTAAAAGCATTATCGACTTAGAGTATGTTTTCGACAAAATATAAAATTTGATACGTAATATCATTGTATTATCTTCTCGCGATTTCATTGATCTTGTTCTTTTTTATTTCTTTTATCTGTGACAATCATGTTACGTGCTGTGCGACGTGCGACAGAAAAATTCATTGACAATGACATCATCTGTATTAAGTCTGAGAAGTAATTTTTTCCGTTGTAAGATTGAACGAATGAACGATGTTATTAATTTAACATCTAAAAAAAAGCAGCCAACGGTTACACAAAAATAATTTTATATGCAACGATAAACACAAATATTAATATACAAAACTATCAAAATAATTGCTTATTATTTTTCATAAGGATTATTTGTGTTAAATTAATTGAATTTATTTATGAATATGAAATTCAATTTAAAGGAAAAAGTAGAAAAACATTACTTCACACAAAGGACAAATATAATACTTTTGTTCATTAGTATACTCACGAATCGATTCTTCATGCTGTTGGTCCAATTCTTCCACGCTCGCGAGCAGTCTCTTATTTTCCTCTTGAAGTTCTTCGATTCTCTTATACAATTCCGTCTCCTTGTTGCTCGAAGCCTCGATAAAACCATCGTGTCGCTTGTGATGTTCCGAGTGTACATCGAAACCAGATTTTACCGCGATAGACTGGTGGCCGTAGTTATCGTGTTTCTTAAACTTCTCATCAAAGTCCGACTTTTCTTGCCTATCGGTCTCGGTGTGTTTTTCATTTTCAGTTTCCAGCGCTTTCAGTGCGGTTCGCACCAAATCTAACTTCTCCAGGGAGTTCAATTTGGACAGCACCGTACGGAAGTCATTGATCAATGCGGTTTCATCCGGTTGTATGCGTTTTGTGTTTCTCTCCGCTTCCCGGCTCTAATTAAACATCGAATTCATGTGTTCGCATTAAATGAAATTTCAGTGAATGGCTTATCTTCAAACTATTGGAAAGGACTCTAGAATTATGGCCTTAAGTTAAGCTTACATATTTTTGTATCCTTTTAAAGTGTAAAAACAGCCCTAGCATTAAAATTACCGAGCAATCAAATTGACTTTCTGAAATTCCTTTATAGAAACTCCAAGAACGTATCTATTGAGACTTTAATTGATTTAGAATTCAATTTGCCTAGTGCTAAATCAATTTCTTTAATAATTTCTCAGAGAATCATCTGTTGTCTTTTTAATAATTGCAAAACGAAGAAGTCAGGAACGGGTCATTCTGATCTATCTGGTAGTTTTAGTGTTAAGGGAACTGAAACGTGATTAAAAGATGAAAATGCAACTATGTCAGACAAGGGTCTACAAATCGTAGCTTAGAACGTTAATTAGAATTCATCGTATACGAGGCTTTAAGGGTGAATAGAGCATTAATTGAAGAGCTATATATGTAGAAAGGTTTTGTCTTCGTTTGTATAAAAGGAATCAATGTTGCACGCAAGCGTAGTACTATGTCTGAATAAAAATAGACATAATTGAGCTAGCTTATAAGATTTTATTTCATTCTATGAATACGCACGAATGATTTTCTGATTTTATGAATACTGTAAGAAACTAAAGTCGCGGTTTCAAGAGTTCTCCATTGATAACAGTGAGAATAGTATTTTTAAGTAGAATTTACGTAAAACCATTTTAAATGTCAATGCACTGATTTCTCAGTTTTGTGATTCGAGTACTACTTGTAAGTGAATTTATTCTTATTGATATTAAAGAAATTAACGCTAAATGGAAAGAAAATTAGAGTTCTCAAGTAAACGTCTTTCTCTCGTGTTATACCTTTTCTTCCATTTGTATAATACGGTTCACCATATCCTGCTTGGCTCTTACAAATTCTGCCGTCTGATGTCCATCAGGGAGTTCATCTTTCAAAGAGGAATTATTGACCTGTATAAAGTAAGATTTCAGAATGATATTTCGCCAGTATGTGTATTAAAATTGAATAGTGCGTTTCTATTGTTGCATAGATTCGAATCATACTTTTATGAAACCAGGTCTCTCTGTTAACCCCTTGATATATAAGATTTTTAATTCGGTTTACTAAAAATCAATGGTATTCATCGTATATAAGTCGAAGTTGGAAACTATTTTTCATATTATTAATATTTTACTTTTAAAGTCAGTCTATACTTATAACAAATATGAGATTTCTTCGCTTTATCGCAAACTATTAATTACAAAATAAATCCAAGAAGATTAGTAAAGAAAATCATACAAGTGGTTGACAATGGTGACAGATTTTATATGAATTATTGTAACGTATTAAAAAAAAATGGAACAAATTTCTTTATGTCGTTCGAAGGTAATATTATCCTCTTTCATTAATCATGGACACTGGTCCGTCCATTTCCCACATCCAATAAGGTGGCAGTGATACAATATTGATTAAAGATAATGCGTAATGACATCTGCCGTCACGTGCATGTATGCGTGAAACAGTTGGCGGTGCATGCTTAAAATGAAACGCAATTATCTCAAAACAATTACAATCGTAATTATGTATTTTATATTTAGTGGGACGGGAGGAACAACGTGATTATTAGATGCACGGAACAGAAAAGAAAGGATTGCGTAAAGTGGTAAGCAAATCTCGAAACAATTATAGTTTCTGTTGCAGCAACACTCGGGATTGACTCTATGAAGCTGTACGTGTATAAAAAAACAACTATACGATTTTATTGTGCCATTACTGTTGTATAATAAACTGTTTACGGCGACACGACCAAGATCAAAGTGGCGTAGTAACCATATAATTATGTATCAAACTGAAAATGAACTGGAGAAAGCTCGGTACATTTATTATTGTTAGAAAATTTTGCAATATCATGCCATCCATTAACGAGCAGTGCTCGGGTGCTTATTATTGTACATTTAATCAATTTCACTCTAGGTTCTCAGGGAAGCGTTATTTTACAAATTTTCAATGACCCAATTATTCATTTAATAATAAAATGCACTGTCACTATATTATAAACAACAATGCAATTTTACTGTTCATGTATAACGTGATTTTCTGCATTAATTAATGATACAAAATTGTAATGAACGTAATCCTTCTTTAGACATTAAAAGAATTTGTATAAAGTTATAGAAGTCATTATTTATTATTTTTAAGATATACGGATTAACACTTTGACGAAAAGAAATAGTTTATGGAACGCGAAAGTAGAAGCTTCACATTTACGAAATTAATTACGATTTTAATTTTTGGGAAATAGTGTATATTCATCGTGTTTAGAAAATGGTATCTCAACAACTGAAAATACAAAAGAGGCTTATATTTCTGTGAAGTGTTAATGCACGAAGCAAGTGGTATCTTACCATTTGAACACGTTTCAATTCAGTCTCTAAATCATGTATCTTCATGGTGGCTTGTGCCAGTTGTTCTTGGAGCTGCCGAGTGTGATTCTGATTTTTCGAATTACGGTTCTTGGTAGACACTGGATCCCAGAAAAATACTTCGTTGTCGTCATCTTGGTGACTGCCATTCTGTAACAAGAAAAGTATAAACTATGATACGGAGTATTTTAGCAATCACCTGAAATGGAAGAAGAAACTGTAAGATTATAACTCTTTAGAGCATTCATGGGTTATCTCAAAAAATATTATAGAAGGAAACTAACATATTTGCTATAATATATATCATAGTATATTAAATATTATATTAACCTTCTATGTCCGAATTACCTTAAAAAGGCAAACCAACAAATAATTTTGAAAGACATTTCATTCCACATAACAGAATACTATATTAACAAACCTGTTCAAACATACAGTTTCGTACACGTCAATATTTTCCTAATTTTCTTAATAAATATATTATATTTATTTTATATGTTCCACCTCAAAAGCTAAACAGAATAGATTCATACCCCACTTTGAGAATAATCATCGCATACTTTCTTAACCCCTTGCCCTACAATATCGAGTCAGACTCGTGGTGAAGATTTCAAATAGAATTTAACAAACATAAATATTATTCGATTTGTTCAAATGAAAATTACATGTTATTCCTCTGTTATCATTGATTATACCTTATAGCACGCGTTGACATAGAATAAGACTGGAATTTTCTCTGATTTTCAATAAATCATTAATAACCAAGTAATTAGATCGATTACAGTTCAGAAAGAAATCATAAGGCAAGGGGTCAATCTCTTCAAGAATACTGACCCGTGTGTACATCTGATTTTAATTTAAAGTTGTTCATTGAATGGACACTTGCTTTATTTTCGTATAATTCTGATTTTTCTTCTGATTTTTCTCTTTAACGTCTTCGTTTATTTTCCTATTGTTCAGTTTGTATCAATACGAACAGAATAAATTGCTTCCAAACAAAAACTAAGATCATCTTTGTCAGTTCTAACAGAAAATTCGGCTCTGAAGAGATTAAACAGTAATCCTATATTTTACACAATGAAAATGAAATTAATCCTATAGATACTGTTATTAGAAATTATAAACTACGACATTATACTTAAAAACTCAGTGACTCGTTTACAGTTTCATTTTTCTAATATTTTATTTACAAGATTTATTGGATTGAAGAAAATATAATTGAGGAGACCAGCACCAAAATGAGCGCCGGTAGCGAGCGTGTTAAATCTCGAAAGAGTTCACGCAAATTCGAACAGGATCAAGTGACTTCCATTCGGGATCGATACGGTAGCAGTGTCCATCTTCGGAATCACGTGAGCCGTGCCACGCTGACGTTCTTTCGAGGTCTCACTAATGCAGGATGCGGCCATTGAGGCAACCGTATGATTAGTAACTTAGTATTGTTATGCACGTTTACATAAGAGCCTTGTGGTGTGAGCAATGCACCTACTACGGCGTTGGTTCGACCACACGCTGACAAAAAAGTACATATATATATATATAAAAGTGAGAAAAAGAACGACCGATGGCAGAAGGTGGGAGGACACTTATGCAATCCAAATTACGACTGGCCGCGAGTTCTTCGAGGAAGAGAAAGAAAATGTATTGAAGGCACACCGTGCTGCATATTCGGTTTTCAAATTGCCCCGTGTACCTGATGGAAAGGATGTCAAGATTTTACGGTGAATTGAGACCTTATAAAAGCCTTGTCATTTCATAGGAATTGCCTGGGATTATGTAACCCTTAGCGGACTCTCTCACGTGTCCCATACGTATTCGCTCGCTCGTTGTTTTTATCCATCGAAAGGCCGCTCGAATTACAACGAGACGAAACAATGAAATTCTTCCGTCGATATCGAAGGCCGTGATAAATTCACATGGAAGCTGGTGTGCCGGCTAAAACCGTAATTAAGCCCCGGCTCGCGCGCGATTGATTTCCATTGGATTACGTAATCGATGAAAGACGACGACGGAGATTATGCGTACAGATTGGTAACACATTATCAAAAAAATCGTATTCGGTAAAGTTCGCGTGGTTTTCTTTGTTAGTAATGAATTGGAGTGGTTTCAATCAGTATTTTATTAGTTTAACACGTCGAATACGGCGCGATTTCATAGAGAAAAATACACGAAATGGCGAGAATATAATATTAAATCGTCTGATTGAATTGTGTTATTGTTATCGCACGTTCGTGTAGCTGAATGTCAGTCCATTAAGTAGCATTATTTGTAATATAGAAATGTTTTCAAATAATCATCGTTTAATTGAGTGAGCTATAGTAATTCGATCAACGAGTAAACGAATGAAACTGGCATTAGTAGAAAGTTATATTTATGCTGTTGATATCGAATAAAATAAAATTATATTACGTTCTCTGGATTTAAACATTGATTTACAAAACTGCACGAACTTTTTCTGGTACGTAATAATTGCTAATAATACTAAACGTACTGGCACTTTAGCCACCGATCATATTTTTGTGAAGGGAATATAGGTGATTGATTTAATACGGAAACAATATTTAAAATAGTTTTTGGATAAGACAAAGATTATATATTTTCATTCGTTCTCGTTAAAAACAAATGAAAATACATCATCTTATTATTATCCAAAAGTTATGTTGCGCATTGTCTCCGTGGTAAATCAACAATCATCTATATTCCCTTCGCAAAAATATGGTCGATAGATAAAGTGCCGGTACGTGTAGTGTTAAACATAGAAAGGACAGTAGAGCAATTATTACGAAGAACCGTGGCTGTTCTGTTTTATTAAGAAAGCCATTTCGATTGCATGGGAGTTTCGGTGAGTGTTTATTCGCCAGTCGACGTGATAATTGTTTCCAAATAATTTGGAAACTCCAATCACCGGCGGCACTATTTAAACTTAACACTAGAACTTGTTGAAATGATGAGTTTCAATCCTTATTTCGAGAAAACAATGAATCATTTGTATCGTAACTAATTTGAAATTTAACACGTTAAGCGCCATGTTAGTCACTAATGACCGACGCTTTTGAATTGCTTAAAAACAATTATAATATACAAGATGACCGATGTTGAATAAAAATGTTTAATAAAGTAAGTTGATACTAGTGTAATGCAAGGATTGTGATGTCAAATTATCAACTGTTCCTATTTATCCTTGCACCAAAGGAATAATAAGTGTTGCATATCTGTTAATATCTGTAAAACACTAATTGGCGAAACTGATGAAGTTTATAATTCGTCGAGGTAAAATAATACTGCTGTCAAGGATCTTCTTAGAAGCTTTTCGAATTCTTTGCGGAAAGTGGAAACAGAAATTGTACCCCGGCGAATGGGTTAGAGGAATAGCCTCGTCTTTGTCAATCGATTCCAAAGTCCTTCGACGTGCATTATCATAATTCTATACAAATTATTCAATGAGCCATTATTGTAGTCACGTATTACCCCGACAAAGGACTACAAAACGGTTTTTAATCTATCATAAGTTCCCCCACCACAGGGAGATTCACCTTTTGACCGGCCTTTATGTTGTCCAAAGTTCTTTCATCTAAAAGTCAATTCACAGCATATTTTCCTTTTTGACCCGCATAATGTGAACGGCGGCGTCAACTTTACAGCTGTATCCTGACAAAGCTGCATTTTTTAACGTGCAATCGATGCTCGTTTATCGTGTCGTTGATCTCGCGGAAGGAATGCGCTTAGAACTACTCACGAAATTCGTTGGATGTTATAAGTGAATAAGAAATTTAATTTTTATTCGATATCTCCCTCGATAAGTTGTATTATAAGTATTGCAGAATGTTATGGAAACTTTAAGAAGTGTAGTTCGCGTCAAAATGTTTGGTTTCGTTCAAATTTATTTTGAATGTATGAATGAAAATGGTGTTTCCCAAAATATTTTTGGGAATGATATAGATTTAAAAATCAATGGCTAACCTTGTATGTTAAGGAAACGACAGAAACAACAAAAATGAGTCTTTGAACGAAAAGCACTTAATTCTAAAGAAACAAATAATAGATGCATTCATATGGTCAAATTATGCAGTGGATCATTATTATAATATAAATATTTTTGTATTTTATGTGAATGGTTATAGGTAACAAAACATTTTGTAGAATTAATTACATACTGTAGACATTCGAGGTTTATATTATTAGTGATTTACAGTCATTTTTCAAACTTATTAATTTTTGCAATAGACATACAAACTGACTTCACTTAAAATTGACTCTTGTTTCGCACAATTTTGTCAAGTACTTTACGCGATCAAGTCGAAAGGAAGCTTGGAGAAAAGTGAACAATGAAAGAATGAAACAGATTATACCTTGTTGTCTTATGAAATTTACAGAAGCTTGAAATACGAAGCCGAGACGAGATCGAATTCCTAATGTCTCCGTTATTTTTTAGTGGGACAGCTTGAAAGAGACAAATGAACGGAAAGTCAATCCCTTGATGGATGTGCTAAGCGATTCAGTGTCGTATCGTTGCATATTATTCACTGGGGACCTCTCAGATATGCGACTGATACCAAAAAGCTTTCAAGTTGATCCATGCACACTGTCGAAATGCTAATCGATGCACGCGCCTTATGCATTCGCCTTACTCGTATCGATGATCCTGGCCAAGATAAACAGCCTCTTTAACTTCACGGTCGATAGCTTTGATTCCAGATAAAAACCGAAATTATATGTTAAATTACATTTCGCCTTACATTTGTGACTTTTTTATAATTTTATGGTTCGTGTGTTTTTTAGAATTATTTCTTCAATGCACGTTGATTACCAATCTCTTAAATACACTTAAGACACTGCTTATGAAACTTCTTGTTATTATTTTTATTTGAAATATTAGAAGGATATTACTGAACGAGTTCTTTGAAAATATAACTTATGAGAATTGATGATAAATTGAACGAAGTCATGAATGTTTTATTATCTTTATTTATTTTTCAATTCTAAATGAGAAAATCGTTAGATTTAATTCAAAACGAAGGTATTGGGAATAATATGCAGTTACTTAAATACTGAAAGTTTATTTAATTTAATTTTCTATAATGTTCAGAATTTGATCATATGAACACCTTTTCGTACAAAGGTTCATCATTGTTTCCGTCGTTTCCTTAGTA